ACGGTGATGAGAGGAGGTGATGAGGTTTTACTTGAGCTGAACTCCTTGTCTGTCGTCGTGTCTGATCTCTGCCATGATGGCACTGGGGTCGAAGGACTTGGTTTTCTCCTCCACACAGTTCTCTGGAAGCAAGTCTGAAGACGCAACGTGAGAATTTGTACGAGCATTAAAGCAAACGTGAGATGTGACACGTTAAATATGTGAGAGGAGGCTTGGCACGAGGAGGTGAGAAACTCACACTGGTTGTTGATGAGGCAGTGGGCGGCCAGCAGCTTCAGGGAGTGGACCTCAAACAGGACTCGGTGGAACAGAAGGTCGTGAGCCGTGGGTCGGAGTTTGGCGTCGTGACCTAAACAGGACTGCGTAAACTCCTGCAGAGAGAAGTCGCACATCGATCACCACGAGAGTCGGACGTAACGAGTGCGGAGGTCGTTAAAGTAGAAGCTGGAGCTTTTATTTATTTATTTTTTTCTTACTCTCATCAGAGGGTCTTCCAGAGATTGACCTGCGTGGATGATGGCCTCCTTGGACACCGCTGTATCACCGTTGGCCTGGATCTCAAGTACTGCCATCTAGGGGTGAAAAAATAGTTATTTTTTATACATGTCAAAGCTCACACATGAACCTGACCACAGATGGACTTCTTCTGACCACCACCAGGTTCTCTCACCTCCAGGGCACAGATGCCAAAGGAGAAAATGTCTATGGCGTAATCGTCTTCACCAGCTAAAGGAGAAGAAAAGACAATAAAATAAAATAAAAACAATTTATATATTTTATTAATTAAGGAAAGTTTTTCTTTTAATACATTCAAAATAATAGTTTTAAATAATGTAAAAATCTCTGAGGTTCAAACACAGAACTTGCCTCCATATTCAGGAGCGAAGAAGTGAAGATTCCTCTGCTCATCCCGGTGTTGCCGACCTTTACCCTGGATGTTGACATCTGGGAACACTGGATAAGGCAGATGTAGATTAGATAAGCCTAAATTTGGTTTAGATTAAAGTGAAATGACTTGAATTCATTAGAAATAAACATTGTTAAGGTTGAAAATATTCATTTCTTACCATTAACAAACAGCCGGTGCCAAACTGTAAATGTAAATGAAAAGCTGTTTTAAATATTTATTTTATTTTAGCTCCACAGTAGGAATCAAACGGCTGTTAAATACAGCAGACTGTAGTAACACAAAAAACCCTGCAGGGGCCAGACCTGAGCCGATCTTGATGAGTCCGTTGTGCTGGATGAATATGGTGTCACACGTCAGGTTGCCGTGGACTATCGGTGGGTCACAGGAGTGGAGGTAACTGTCGGGAAAACACCAAACATGTTTAGGGAACACTGTGACTTCAACATTGTTTAAAAAATAATCAAGAGTTAATTAAATAATCAGTACTTCAGGGCTGAGAGGATCTGAGTGCACCATCTCTTCCAGGCCTGAAATTAAAAATCGGAAAGCAGAAAAAACTCTATTAAACATTGCAGGCCTGAAATTAAAAATCGGAAAGCATAAAAAATCTTTTAAACATCAGGTTTTTTAATAAAATATGCTAATGTTGTGATTTACTGAACATTTCCCTCGATCTCTGGGATTAGGTTTAAATACCAACACTGGATTAAACTGTCTGATTTGAACTAGAAAATAACATAAACATATAAATAGTGAGTAAATACAGAGGTCCATGAACACATCGCTGTCAGGACTGAAGCACTGACCTTCACGTTCATGGTCTTGTGGTTCTTCTTGGTCTTCTTCAGGAACTGTTTGAGGCTGCCTGACGACATGTACTCTGTGATGAAGATGACCTGAGAGCACAGACACGTGTTGTGATGAAGATGACCTGAGAGCACAGAAACGTGTTGACCACTGTCTGTGTGTGTGTGTGTGTGTGTGTGTGTGTGTTACGACTTCTTACCCGAGCCTGGTTCTCCTTCATGTCCAGCCAGTATTTGTGAAACTTGACAATATTGGGATGTTCCACCTGCATCAGGTTCTCAAACATCTCCTTGATTTTCTCCTGTTAAGATCAGTCACAGTTTCACCTCAACAGTTACTTTCAGTTATTCTGTTATTTTAAGTTAACTTTAAGTTACTTTTTTCTGTAAAAACATAAACTGCACGGAGGACCCGTGCAGTACAAATATTCGCATTCTTTACCTCCTGTCCTTTGAAGACCTTCTTGTCGGAGAAGAGAACTTCGTTCCATACCACCTCCACACCTTCTTCCGTGTCCATGGCCAGAGACGCGCTTTCCACACCGGGGACATTTCCTTGGCTGACCTGTAGGGGGCAGAAGAGAGCAGACGTTAAACGCAAAGGAAAAAAAAGAAAAATATAATTCCGTTAATATATTAACGTGATTGGTCTATTTTCATGTTGCTGACAGTTGTAATATGAGACTATATGAGACTTAATTAGACTGGTTAAAACTCTGCAGACCCGACAGAAGCCTGACAGCGTGATGGTGAGCCAATACCAGGACAGCAGTGAAGCATTGGCTAAAACAGTCAATAAAAATGCATGAACACATTTGGAGCTCCGCCCCCTACTGTGCTGTGACCATCTGTTAAAAGCTCCAGTAATCCATTACCACGGTGTCAGCTGACACAGTGGAGGCTCCATTAACGAAAGGGTCAATCAGACGATGGCGATAAAACCAGGTTTATCATTTGACCCACCGGCAGAGAC